TTCCAAATTGAGATTAGCCAACTGGCTTTCTGTCATCTATTACCTTTGTTCTCTTTTAATAGATGCTTCAAGGTGTTCCTAAATATGTTTAACAATTTTCTCATCTTGTTGATGTTGGAAACTGAGACCATAAAATATGTATGAACACAAACAAAATTGTTAAAAAATTATAACAATAAATTGATCATAAACAAGTTTTGTTAGATGCTTACTCACGCACACTAAATGATCTTTTAAAGATACACTGAGCTGGACTGACCTGTTTAGAGGCCATCTCATTAAAATGGGATTTTCATTTTGTAGGGGGCAAGGACATTCTGGAAATTAACCTAGGTATACAGTTATCTCAATATCCAGATTTACAGTTATTGTTGAACAGGTGACTTGGAGACATAAGATAAGCATTTATTTCTAAATTTAACAGGTAATGTATGTTCCCAAAACATGTTTTACTGTAGAAACATTCATCATATTTAATATAGAAATCTAAGCACTATGTTAATAGTCCTCTGTGTCAATGAAAAGACATGGTGTGAAATTATGCAAATTTAAACCACTGCAGATTATATTGTGACTATTGTAAAGAATTCATCTGCAAAACCAAATTCATCTTATTTGTAGATGAATTGGTAGCTTTTAATAACAGTCTGGGTTCTGAAACTCAGAAACATTTCCTTTACTTCATGATATCTTATAAAAAACAGAGTACACTGAAAACAAAACAGTTTGGATTTTTCAGTGTGTTAAATTTTTGTGAATTTAATAATGTACACTATCTTATTTGTATGTAATTAATCAATCAGTACATATTAGTTATGCAGATTGGAACTTCCTAAACCAATGATAATAACACAAACAATAATTCTTAGTTAAATCTAAAAATAACATTTCAAATGGACATAAAATTTGGATATCATCTTTGGACAACTGATTAGGAAGGTGGACTTTTTAACAGATCCATACAAACTCATCTGTTTTTTCATGTCAGTTCGGTTAACTAATGCAGTAAAACTGGCCAGCAGCCATATGACCCTGCAACTCACAACCCTGCAACTGAAGCTAAGCAGGTGTGAGCCTGGTCAGTACCTGGATGGGTGACCTCCTGGGAAAAACTAAGGTTGCTGCTGGAAAAGGTGTTAGTGGGGCCAGCAGGGGGCGCTCACCCTGCAGTCCATGTGGGTCCTAATGCCCCAGTGTAGTGATGGGGACACTATACTGTAAACAGGTGCTGTCCTTCGGATGAGACGTAAAACCGAGGTCCTGACTCTCTCTGGTCACTAAAAATCCCAGGGCGTTTCTTGAAAAGAGTAGGGGTGTAACCCCGGCGTCCTGGCCTAATTTCCCATTGGCCCTTATCAATCATGGCCTCCTAATAATCCCCATCTATGAATTGGTTACATTACTCTGGTCTCCTCCCCAGTGATAGCTGACGTGTGGTGAGCGTTCTGGTGCACTATGGCTGCCGTCGCATCATCCAGGTGGATGCTGCACATTGGTGGTGGTGGAGGGGAGTCCCCATTACCTGTAAAGCGCTTTGAGTAGAGTGTCCAGAAAAGCGCTATAGAAGTGTAAGCAATTATTATTATTATTATTATTATAAAACTGACTTAGGACTGAAAACACAGGAATCCAGCAATTACAAATGAGCAGCCTTAAAGATTACTTTAGAGACAACCTTCAATTTCTCACTGAAAGAACTGGTCAATGTGTTTTTCTCCTTTGTAAAATACACTACATTGTGTACATCAGAAATTTAAATTCAGCAGAGAATATTATGTCTTTGAATTCTGATAATGTGTTTTATAAATGATTCTATATAAATGTAATTAAATAGTAGGTAGCAGAGATTGCTAAAGCACTTAACGTTTGCATTACATGTCATGTCATCACTACATAAGGTGCCTGTCTACAGTTACATACCTATCTAGATATACAGTCCAGACTGATGAACAAAACATTATATTTCCACTTTCAAACATCCTGAGACAAGCACTTCGATAAACCTTCAATAATAATTATTCCTGACTTCCACGGGGAACAGAATCATGCAACACACAGTTTCCATATAAACAGATTTTATGTCAACAATATTTTGCCATGCATGAATAATATTCCAGACAATCTCTATAAACACTTTTTTATTTAATTTGGCATGACTTCCTATGCAAATACCCCCTATCCTTCTCTAATTGGCAAAAGGTCAGAAATTCTACAAGACTTTTTTCAAAATCTCATTAAATGACATTCTGCAGCTCTTAGACAACAGCAAAGAAGACACAATAAACAGATACTCTTGACTAAATAAGGGGGTCTTTCGCATTAAATTGGAAGAGACGCATTACATCCTAGTATTTCTTCCATGAACACCGTGCATTGGCGCCTTGCCCGATTTAGGAATGGAATCAACAGGACTAGGAATTTCAATCTTTTCAAGGTTTTGTCCCAGCTGTGTGAGTTTTTCCTTCAGGTGATATCAAATGAGCAGTCACTTATCTTGTGATATAATGTGAAAACTGAATTACTGAATTACAGGAAACAGTGCTCGTGACTGGCTGTACTGTAGTATTTGCGCCTTTTTACTCAAGTGATGTTATAACCTTCTTCTAGAATGCACACACATTTACAGACAGAGCAAATGTTGTTTGTGAGTTAAAAAGCGCCTTAAGGAATCTGTAAAATGGGGTGGATAATCATAGCCTTTAAAAAAGAAAGCTTTGTAGCATCTCACCATATTTCTGAGGTTTGCGGTAGCATAACCATTACTATTCCAGTTTTACTTGAAAATTGTGTTGTTTTCATTGTAGGTGGGCCCTGTGATATAACAGCTAAAATACATTTGTTTTTGTGGGGGCAGATGTACAACAATAAAAGTTTTAAAGGAAGAGTAACCTTTCTGTGCCAAATTAACAAGGTAACTGTAATGAAGCATTTAATAAAGAACATTTCAGCTCCTTGGGGTAGTCAATGCCATGGAGTCCTGAAGAAAACGAGTGCTCCCGTAAAACATTAATCTTGTTGGAAGCATCATGGTGCATAATATCTCAACAAAAATAGAGCTCTGGAATAGTTTTCATTTGCCAAAACCCCAGCATGTTTAGTCATACTTTGAGTGCTCTTAAATTTCCACATGTATTTTCCTGGATTTGCGTGGGTTATACTATTTCATTCTAATTCTCCACCTGTCTGTTTCCAGTAACTCACTGGAGGAATGGGGGATACAGCTGTCTACACAACGGCCGGAACCAATGACCCTAAAGCCCTTCTCTATCCTTCTATAAGGAGGGAGATGAGAGCAATGGAAACTGATTAGTTTAGCAGCACAAACTTTGCAGCAATATCCTGGTTGACATAATCTGTGCCGCATTTGCTAAATATGTAGCGTTTCCCATTGAAGAACTGTGCCCACTTTGTGAGAATTGCAAATTCTCTGCTAGGCTTTCTGAACCATCAATAATACTTTTTATGAACAAAAGGTCATACATTTATTATCTGAAAAAACTAAACCCGTATTCCCTTGCTTTTATGTGTAGCTATGTTTCCTCTACCTTTTTAAATCAGAATCAGAAATTCCAGGTGAGACAACTATAAACTAATAAAAAAACAATGTTTCTGTTACAAAATGTTTAACACATTTCTACATCCGTTTGTGTGGGTTGCTACAGTAAATGTGTATTATACTTACAAACAAAATGACTAGCATTTTTTGAGGAAAGTCCAATACAAAGGATGCAATATTGAATGAAGAAGGGTATTAATTAATGTATAAATATGAAAAAGCTTTATATTTCCATCCTCAATTATAGTTAAAAACAAGACAAAAACATTTTAACAGATGTTCTAAGTGTAATACTTTCATGTCAGTGAACATTATGCAGAAGAGAAAATATACAGATAGCTTTTTATGTACATATCCAAAGTTTCATATGGATACAGGATTCAGAACTGCAGTGGACAAAGTAGGCTAGAGAAAAAAAGTTAAAAAATGTTTGATTCCTGAAGTACAGATGCTTAAACTTAATACAGCTCTCAAAAAAGCTAATATAAACACCAAACATGTCGATTTAATTAAATTAATTCATCCATAATATTTACGTTTGAAGTTAAAAATGTACACAAATAGTTATACACAATTGAAGACATATAGATATGTTACTGGATATGAAACACATTACATAGTAATGCATAAATTCTGATCTCAAGAAAATAAAAATGATGGAACAAATCAATTGTACACAGCTAAGCAGCCCAGCAATAAATACAGTACAGTAATTTGCATACTATTTATACAATTGAAAATCCTGTGAATCTATTATGCAAATTAAGGTTTTTCATGTTTATTGTGTTCTGTCTGATAATGTTACCTACAACAATTCATTTGTGCTAATTCAGGAAAAATAATGTGCTACAATGTAAAATTAAAAACAAATACAGATTAATTAAACATGAAATGCACACATATGAATTTATAGTCTACTATACTGATGTATGGTGTATTTTGTTATCCTAAACATTACAATTTGACTAAATGTTTTTGAATAAAATATTGACTGTAAATCACATGTTAACAATTTATCACAAAATGCACCTCTCACATACAGCAGTTATTGTACAAAAAATGTTTTCTGGGGTGTCATTTTAACTCACCTTCCCTTGCTTGGATTAATTTTTCTATTGTTTTTTTTTTCTTTCCCCACTGCTTGCTCGCAAAAGTTTGGTTTGGGACAAGTTCTTAAGCATTTCATAGCTGTGTTGTGATGTTTCTACTGTGAGAAACGCTCTTATAAAGTACCCCAGTTAAGGCAGCCCTGTCTCTCTGCGTGTGGGGCAAGTTTTTTATCGGCTGTGTCACTGCTACCCCCTTGCCCCAGGCAGGCTAATGGGGAGACTGATACCTCAGGAAAACTGCAACACATCAAGCCTGTAAACAGCCCCTCCCTCTCCCATCAGTCACCTTGGCTTACTGGAAGGCAAAAGAGGAATTCCAATGGGCTGCTCCCTTGGTAGGTTACTGCTGGCAGCCTGCCATTCAGCGGAGCAGTCTCTGAAAGTGTGGAGCCTCACTGCAGAGGTCTCACTTTCCCCTTGTGCAAGAGAACACTCAGCACGCAGCGCAGGGGGATCATAGAATGAGAGAGGTAAACGTAAGACCTGAACTTGTTAGGTCAGACACCCCTGCAACGTGGACTGAAAGAGGAACGTACTGTAAGTGACAAATATTGCAGCCGGGGAGCTGGGATTGCTGTGAAACAGTGGTGGAGGTGGAGGGAATGATGGACGCTTATTGAGACCAGCTTCGCTTAGATGTCACTGCTGTTGAGTGCCAGTTTCTATGCTGTCACTGGTTCCAGCAAGTGGTGAAGCTGTGGACTGGGGCTACAAGAGGATTATATCAATGAACCAGAAGAGCAAGAGAACCCACATGGTGTTCAGCTGGCACAAACCCTTCACTATCCTTGCCCCATGGAGGAAAGGTACTGTATGCCACAAATTATTATTTACAATTTTGTGACTTCAGACTTAACACATAGGTTTGCAGTACCAGATACCAGCTGTCTTTACTAGCTGGGCTTCAATCACGTTATGGGCTTGTGCATGTGTGTGTGTTTTCAAGCTCCCAGAAAGACTAGACATTTCAAACAGGGTGTAATTTCTGTCTTTGATGTGCTGGCTGCAGTGAAAATGATAATGTTCAAGATGCATTTAAAGGTCAGAGTTGGCTTTGTGAAGGTTTGGGGGAAAGCTTTATATTTTACAAGAGAAACTCCCTTCAAGTCTAAAACAGTTTAGTGGCATCAAAAGTCTTTTTTGGGGTGAAGGGTGGGGGGGACTGCAATGTAGAGGCTTTCCTGTAAGTGTTGTGATTGTATATATATATTTTTTCCTTTAAGGAACCGTCTTATTAAATGAAAAACAGGCATTTTGTGCAATATTTATATACTGTAGTACCTCACAGCTTATGTTTATGCGAGATATTGGCTTTTGTAAAAATTGTAGTATTGATTTGTTTCTATTGCTGTTTATTCAACTCAATTCAACAGTTTACAAAATTATAAAAAGCAAAATATCATGTTAATTCCACAAAGCACAATGTAAGATCAGAAGAAAAATATTTTATATATACTGTATATGGACTTTTCCAGACTGCTAAGTGATAATACATGATTTATTATAATGGATGCTAGAAGGATATTTACTAAAATATCTTTTCTTTATAGCAAGACAATACAAGTAGCTTTTGATTCAAAACTAACTACAAATATCTTTGTGGATCTTTTTATTTTGATGTTTTAGTGCTCCAACATCCTAGCATGAACTAAGGTGAAAAGGCTTAGATTCTTTTGAAGACTGCATTGATCTTCCAATCAAAGTAAAATAAACCACAGCCATGAATGTGTCCTTCAGTACCAATTTTCCACACTCAAAAGACACACTTTGCACGAATTACATTGTATTGACTATTATCAGAATAAACAGTAAGGCTATGCATTATTTGACCAACTATTTTAAATAAGACTCATGCTGATTATATTTGAACTTTACAATAAATAACATAGAAATCTTTTAGTCGACTCAAGACTAGGAAGTGTCTTGCTCATTAAGTAGCAAGTGAGATGTACAGTATAAGAGGTCTAATGGAAGAAACTGCTGGTGACACAGTTCTCTTATTTTGGATCATTAATGGTTTTGAAACAGTTGTATTACACCTGTAAATGAATCTTTATATTAGATTACTCTCTTGCCACTTAATGTGACAAGGTTTCAAAAGGATAACATTTGTCATTAAGTAGATCATCTCAGGTTTTGCATGGAAATGTTGTCTCTATACCAAGCTGCTTTCTGCAGGATATGAGTCACTGTGCCAGGGTTAAAGTGAATCACAAAATTAATCCCTTTTCAATGTCAATGGGAATCTAAAACCGTATTTCCTTTAGGCAGTGAAAAAGATCAGAAGACTATCAGGAAAGTTTCCTGGTAGTTTCCTTAAGCTTCCCATATGAGGAACAATGTTTTGACTTAGAGGGTTCTCAGCATGTATTTTGGCTACAGACAAGAAAAATCCCAAATAAATTAACAAACCTACAATCTGTGCCTGGCTCCCGATTCATTTCATTACTGAGTTCAAAAGAACCTCTCTTTGTCATTTTCCATGCACAAGTAAGGCTAATTATGTCTATTTTTTCTGCATATGAGGATCACAATTGGCTGAACGGGTATATCCTTGGTGGTTGAATATGAAAAATATTCCTGTATTTAATTAAAGGTAATTGAAGTATTCAAGGAGTGCACCAAATTATATAAAAATAGGCAGTTTTCCACATTTTCTTATTTTATCTTAAAATGTGCTGTAGTACAGAAACATATAAATTATGTGGGTGGTGTAGTTGTTGCATGACACTGAAAGGTTGCTGCTTTCCAATTGAATGTAAAAGGTAAAGCTTGGCCTTGGCTTATAGGTATAAACCATGAGCAACCATGATTCAAAAACTAGTGTTTTTCAAGACGTAATGTTCACGAGATGTCTATAACACTACTAGCAGCATCTAAAAAAAGTCAGTTTGTACCAGAGCCATAGAAATACAGTACATGAGATCACAGATCATTCTGGTTTCTGTAGCATTAAATGGATAAAGAGCATATGATTTCCCCCTTGAATAAGACACTGTTTCCTCCCAAGGATTACCCCCCAGCGATGCTTATACTTATATATTTCTACAGTATGCTTATACAGCTGGATGGACCGCTGTCAGAGCAAAGTACTTCACTCGAGGTACAACACCAGTGTTTTGAGTGGGGACCTAAACCCACACCCTGTCAGACAAGAGCTCAAGTGCTTACCTACTACACTTCACTACACAGCCCCCAGCAGTACAAAGAACAGCTTGAATCCTAAGAAATTAAAAGAAATCTGGCGTCATGTGTTAATGTTATGCAATATGTGTGTCACCAGATGTTTTAGGCATGTTTCTGTCCATTTTCTATTATTTGATGGTTCAAAAGAATGGCTGACAAATGCAATGCTACATACCGTACAGTACCTGATAATTAATCATCAAATACCTTGTTGTATACAGTACTACGGTGGTACTGAAAGGATGACTACAATTACAATGAACATTACTAGTCTTTAGGCAATGGTTTGTCCAACCCCATTTGAAGTTAGTTTTTTTTTTTTCATTTTACATCAGGGCAATTTAATTGGCTGGTAAGAAGCTACTGGATACTATGTTTTGAATAGGTTTAAAAAATGTAAAATGCTGCATGAGTCTCCTTTCCTGAGAGACCCAATCGCTGCAGTGATTCTTAACCAACACCTCATTCAGTGACTGCTGTTTCCTTAAACTGGCTTACCTAGTTAAACACCTTTGTTTTCATGTTGAATGCTCTTTTTAAACCATCATACCACTCCCCCCCTTCTTTAGTTGGTATGACTTGTGAGAAGTCTATTCTGTAAGACTATTTTCATCTTAGAAAATGAATATGTAACTGACAGGGGTGATGAAAAGTACAGTACAGATTATGGTATTTCTAGTCTGTTAGGCTCTAATTTACCATTAACATGATTTTCTGAATGATACTGCTGTTGTAAAAGTAAAGGCTTTGCACAAAAAATAAAAGAAGACAGTAATAGAAACTGAAGGCTGAGGAGCAAGCTCAAAATACAAGTTATTTTTATTTAGTTTTGCTATCCGAAGAAATGAAAAGTACTTATTCCAAAATAATATAATTATATAAGTGGTTGTGATTTTTATAAATGTACACATTGATGTAACTATTGATTTACTGAAGTAGACCATTCAGTCATACTGGCTTAGTTGCTTTCCATGGCACTAAGTGGGCAAGAGAATCACCCTTCCTCCTGGACAGGATGCTGGTTCATCATAGCAATGTGGGATCTCATTTATACAGCTGGGTGGACTTGAGCACTTGAGGTAAAATATCTCAGTTATGATGCCCCCATGATTTACTTAAGTAGACATTCTCAAATATTCTTTCTGGCTTAAAATAATTGGCTGGAGCACAACAGTAGAATTACACTGAGGTATTAGCCTACAGTAGGATCACAGGACAAATGCAGAATCTAGTACTACTATGATACTCATAATATGTGTGACCTGATTACTGTTTATCAGTTTCTCTGTCAATGATTTTCTCAGTTAAAGGCACTTTTTGCTCCATATGTACCAACTTTTTGCTCCATATGTTGCTCCAACAAAAATTTCTACCAATTGCTGGTGATCCATTCACAGGTATTGTTCAAAATAATTAGCATCTAGCATACCAAACTGAATTACCTCACCTGTACAGTCCTTAGTTGTCATATGAACTCAGATAGTTGAAAAGGTCTGTTTGACAGTAACAGTGGAACAGTGGAAAAAATGCTTAAGGTCAGAGTATTTTGCTTTGACAACATTAACAAAAGCTGAAGCTGTAAAGAAAGAAACTGTGAAGTGAAGTAAAGTGAAATTGTCTTAGAGCATCCATCTTTAAAATGTCCAGAAGCTATTTCACACCTCATCATGTGGAACATCTGCTCAGCATCATCTCTCCTGGAGGTAGGAGAGACAGGCTGCTGGTAGACTAGGAAATCATCTAGTCATTGACACAGACAGATTATAATCATATAAAAACGAGTGGGATTCTGTATAAAATGTTTTCTTACATTATCTCATATGGAAGGTTTCTTTTATGTGGAATCACACATACAACTTAAGAAAAGTAGTCCTCCTTATACACATCCCGAATTAAGTCCTTTCTCTACTAATTAAGTCGTTTCACCCCTTAACTGTACTCACTGTTTTCTATCAATTAACCACTTCTCAGTCCAAACACATACATTAGCTTGCATGCCTACCACCTGAAATATTTGAACATGTCTTTCATCAGTGCATTTGTATACACACATGCTGTAGACACAACAACAAAAAGCCGTCTGGAGTTGGGGGATGTTAATCACTGAGTAAAAAAGACGGCATGTGCTGAACTCTAGACTGACATAATTACCCCCTACTTTCGTTTCTGCAGCTGGAGGAGTGTGGTGACTCAGCTAACCGAGAGAAGTTTTGACAAGGAGTCCATCATAACTTATAGCTGCTCTCCACATTCTGTATTTGTATCTGTCCTGCATATAACCAAATTGATAGCCTTTTTGTTTTAGTGTTCGCATGATGACTGACATGCTGGGCCAACTTAAATTAAACTCATAGTAAGTCTCTGGGGTAGATCTGGAATGGCTTAAGAAGGTAATACAACACATAATTATGACTGTAAGGGTCATTTTGACCTTCTATTGTTTAACAGTAAAGTGGATTTTCTCAGTGAATATTTACACTTAGTGTTGAGTGAGGTCTGGTGTACGCCTCAGAGCACTGTGTGCAAAAACCTTCGATAGACATACGTTTATGGAAAAAGAGTATTTCTTTGATTTACAAAAATGCTACAGGTTCAAATGGTATAGAATATGTACTGAGTG